TTGCACGAGCCGTGTTCCCACTTGTTTGGCTGCCAAATTCCATTTCCGCTTCAGGTCAATTGCAGTTCCACCCTTTTTCTTCAGTATGTGCTTCACATTGACCAGTATTCCTCAATTGACCTTAGCTCCGGAGTATTGGGAACAACTGTGACGCCATTGTCACTGTACCACTGTTTTATAGAATTTGAGTAGTGGCAGTTTGCCAAGCCCTGCCAGAATAGGCAATCCACCTCACGCTGCTCCAGAAAAAGCAGAAGTCTCTTTTGAAGGTACTCTTCCTGGTTCAACTTTTTTTCAATTCAAGTGAGTTGATCAAGTCAGTTGAATGGCATGGTTTCAAGGGGTAGGTCACTCCGCACACCAAACTTGGATCAACATTTTTCTCAGTGTGCCGCAAGTGTGCCGATTGTGCCGGCAGTGCCGATCATAGAGCAAGCTGAGATTTTTTTGTAAAATACTTATATTATGGTATATTTGGCAACCCGATATTTCGGACAGCTTGAATGTTTTGGTTTGCAATCGAAGGATAACATAGGTCTAGCGACAACCAAGGAGGAATGCTGGTGAGATGGTCCGTGAGCGGTCTCAGTCATCCAACAGGACACAACAAAGAACAAAAAGCCGGAGAGCAACCGGTAGTGTCCCCGCATGGAAAACCGTAGGATGCGATAATTGAACGGCCCCGAAAATGACGAATATCGTGCTGGATAAGGATTTCTTCTACCAACGAATGAAACGCCTCTACGCCAACTGGAAGAAACCAGAGTTTTCCCATGATGATTCGCTGTAGAAGGTGGATTGCATTCTGATAGCGGTTGGCGCAGACGAGGAAGTCATCTACAACAAATCCACCTCGCTGCAGACCTGGCTGCTAGGATACAAGCTGTCCAAGTCCATCTTTTTACTGACCAGCAAGAAGAAGATCGACTTCTTGAAGCAGATCGAGAAGGACCGTGAGGAGGGCATTCCGTCGGTGAAGCTGTTGGTTCGGGATAAGAACGACAAAGACAAGGCCAATTTTGATAAACTGCTGGAGGCAATCAAGGGATTCAAAGATGGCAAAACGTTGGGCGTCTTCTCCAAGGAAAACTTCCCGGGTGAATTCTGTGAATTGTGGCGAGCCTTCATCAAGGACAATAGCTTCGACACGGTGGACATCAGCGTCCCAATCGCATGCATCATGTGCTCCAAGGAGGACTCCGAGGTTATCACCATCAGACGGTAGATGTATTCAACAAGGATCGTCATGGAGATTATGGATGCTGATAAGTGGGTGTCGAGCTTGATGTTCAGTGCATTCAGTGACAAAAATATCTGTACTTCGGATCGATCATCTGTGATCTGGGTGCGCGTTACAAGTCCTACTGCTCCGATGTCGTCCGAACGTTGCTGGTCAATCCGATGGAAACGATTCAGAAGCACTACACCTTTCTGCTCAATCTGGAAGAGGAACTGCTAAAGGTGATGATTCCGGGCAAGAAGCTCTCGGAGGTTTTCGACGTCGGAATGGATTTAGCCAAGAAGGAGGATCCCAAGCTAAGACGTTCGATTTTGCCATCGAGTTGGAGTGCTGGGAGAATTCGATCGTAGAACCTCACCCAGTGAAATTCGGTTTAAACATTGTAAGTTAATTAGGTTGAATGGAAGGAATAAAAATGCCATGTGATTGTGCCGTGAAAAGTAGTTCGGTATTGTTCAAGTGAGTTTGGTTTGGTTGATGACCAATTGATCGCTTGCTGGTGATTTGCTGCTGAAAACTAGGGTCCTTAAAAGGCCACATCCTGCCACTCCCAAGCCGTTGCCTTAACATAAAATTTTCATGATTAGCCAGTAATCTTCTCCTTTGAGTTTTCCGTATCCAAACGCCACCACTGCATGATCCAATCCATCCAAATTGTTCTTGCATTTGGGTTCGTAGGACACTCCATTTGCATAGTAGCTGAAAGACTTGTGACCGGCATCGGAAGCCTACATTTCGAATTTAAATGTGAACCGATAAATGCATTCCTGGTCTGAGTTCCTCTCGAGGGGGACGACTCTATCTACGATGCAGAAAAGATTGTGTTTAGCTGCACGCACGCTGAGTAGATAGAAGGAAGTTTTATGTCGATTTTGAAGATTTCCTGCAAAAAGAAGAAGCGCGATGCAAGTAGATGCGAGAAATGAAAGATGATTTTTCGAATATTGATTCGCTAGTGTGAGATTTTTTGAGCATCTAGAATTGAGATTTAGATGTGTCGCCCCCCTCGGTTCCTCTAGTATATTCAATTAGATTACGTTTCTGAAATACACAGTCAAACAGCATGTAATGTTGTGAACAATTTCAATGACAGTTGTCCAGCAGTGCTGCCATTTTATTTAATGAACATTGCAATGCCTATATTGATTGTGCCGATGGATGTGCCCAAGCTATACCGAATCTACTTTCGGCACACTGTGCTGAGTGACTTACCCCTTGCATGGTTTGCACGTTCAAGTTGAATTCAACTGACTTGATCATTTGACTTGCCCTGTCTAAGCCCAGCTTTACGGGGTACTCTTCCAGTCAACTGAGGTATAAAATTCCTGCCCAAGAATTTGATCGAAAACTGCCAGGAGCGGATAGACCGGGATTCACGTTTCGAGCGTGCAGAATCGAATCGCGACGTGATTTCTCCGGTGAAGCCATGATGTAAACAAATGAACTTATCCTGACAACCATAGTTGATAATAGAAGAGTTACGCAAACTGAAACCAAAATCTATCTATCGAACTGTCAACCGTATACCTATCGAGCAGATCAAACAAACTGACTCTGTTGCGTGGGAAGTATTGTTATCGAAACTAAAGGAAACTTTCACAACCCATGTGAAGTAATCGGAGGTATAAACATAAACAAAGGTTGCCAAAAATTAAAAAAAAAATTGCCCATTGATCAACATCAGCGTTGCAAGCTTCACTCTGCGTAACTCTTCTATTATCAACTCTGCTGACAACCAATGCCTACTGTGATTTTATACATTCTAAGCATGATTCAGTGAAATTTTGACAAAGTTCAACCTTTATTGTTCCATAAATAAACCCGTATGTTCTTCTAACAACAAAAGGAGTTAACTATTAGAACATTATCCCTCACGGAAATATATGTTTTTCTTTGACGCTTTCGATACCAAGATCCGGAAGAACTCCAATAAGACGCAATCAGGGTCAGAATGGTTGCTTGAAGACCAACTTCTAGTACGTACTGCTCCCCATTTCTCATCCGCGATTGAAATACAAAAAAAAAATACATCTTGGACATTATTGTTATCTACCCTCGAGTCACTTGCACCTACCTACTTCAACTTATGAAAGATGAAGACAGCAAAAAATCAGAAAAGAAAGTCGATAATCTCAACAGAGCGTGATATCCGGAGCCAAAAAGCCGCAAAAAGTGTAGTTGCTCCCTCGCAAAAATACACGCGGTGTGTATCGCTGGCCCAAGTAGTGATGCCGGTATTGAGAAATAAAATAAATTGCATCATTATTGTGCAATCATCTCGGTCAATTACGGTGCTCGATTTATCTTTCTTTTGTTACGGATTTCGGTGTGGGAATCGATCCATCTTCCGGCGCGAGAGCGAATATTGAATGAGGTGCCTTTACCAACCTACGAGGAAGGATTGAGGTTATTTTTATTTTTTTCATTTTAGGGCCTTACCAGGAATTTAAAAACATCAATTGGGTAACACTGATGGCCTCGATTCCAATCACGTTGTTAGCCGCAGTAGCAGTACATAATTGCAACAAAGTTTACCAACTGGCACAAAAAAAAATGACAACTATTTATGCAGTTATGCGACATACCGGCTGCTGGCACAAAAGGGCAGCGTAAACAAACAAAAACAAGACATACTGAAAAGCAGATGTAGCCATTTTCGGAACTCGATTCCTTTTTCATCCGATTCAGATGCGTTCACAAACTATCACAACACAAACACAAACATGTATTCCGAGGACTTCAGGTCATCGTGCTTTGGACCGATTTGTATGCTTTCTTCCCGGGGTATCAACGGCACAAGTGGTGCATTTTTCTAAAAGTGCACACAATTATCTAATTAGAAATCGATAAACATATTATGAAAATTATTTATCGTCTCCATTCCGTCATTCCATGTTATGGTTGGTATTCTTGGCGCGCGCGAATCGGATATGGGAAAAACTGTTGCATACAACTTCTTCTTGCCAGCACAACAACAGCCAGAGATGGAAAAACGAGTGGTGTTCAGTGAAAACAACAACAACAACCTCGGACTACGGTGAATTGAGAAGTCGATATAGGCACCGAGAGATATACTGAAGGACTGGTCCACCAGTAGTGTAGCGGTGCAAGTATGGTTACGGTTATAGCTAAGTACGAAAGTATGTAGCAGTTGAGGAGCATTGTAGAAGAGGATTGTGTCCGTAGGTACTAAGTTATGAACAGAAATGAATGAACATGAACTATTTTCCTCAGATTCTAACATCTCAATCAATAAGTCGTGAACCGCAAAATATTCTATCGATTCTATTCTATTTGGGTGGTATATGGCTGAAATAAATAGAAATAGACATGAGTGCCACGGCGCCGCCACCGTCCACTTATTTAATCACGCTGGAATGGTTGATTACCGTAGTTGGGTGTCTTTCGAGAAGTTTCTAAGTATACAAAACTCCTTATGGTAAAAGCAACCTGTTCGTGTGACATCTCTGTACCAGTCGAAAAATTCATGTAAATTTCTGCGAGATATACTGCCTATAGTCCCATATCAGTCCTATATGGAAAAAGTAGGCATTGAGAAAATGGCAGTCGAAGTTACGAAGTGCAATTCCCATGTAATTTGATAAATGATATGAAGTGTTCTTCTCAAAGAATAAAGAAAGTTTGAGTGGTTCTAACTATACGTTTATTCAGGTTGACATCTACACTTCGAATCACTAATTTTTCCATCTCGGTCGCAGCTGTAGGTTGCTGCGATTACTTGGATGGAACATCTCCCCTCTTAATTCATCCAGTACTCCTCGAATCTAGCTGGTAAACGAGTCTGCCGGCGTTCCCTTGTTGCTGGCGGAACTGGTACTGGATCTTGCTGTGGTGGATTGTCTGCCTCACTATCATCCGAAAAATACTCCGCCTCATCACTTCCAAGCTCTTCATCAACTGGACCAAGTTCGTCGGGCACTGCAGCCGGTATTGCTGCTGAAACGGATGGTACGTCTAGGCCAAAACCGTCGAAGAATACCGATAACAGACTAGGACCTTGGCTTGGACTAAGATCTGGACCAGATTCGACCGCACGTTGCTTCAATTGATTGGCATGAGAACGGATGAGCCACTGATTATCCTGCAGGAAAACGTTGTAGTTGACTTTTCCGACACGCTCGATTACTGTGGCAGCCTGCCATTTCCAGGAATTTGCTTGATGGACTTGAGCATATACAGCATCACCCGGAACAAACTGCCTCGAAATCGCTCCATGCTTCTTGTTGAAACGCTTGTTTTGCTCATCTGCTTTCGGTTCTGCTGCTGATGTACAGTTGTGTTGCGGTAGTAGCATTGACGAAACTGTGCGGACCGATCGTCCGAACATTATTTCTGCAGGAGACTTTTCACCTAGGTCAGCCGTTGGTGTTGACCTGTAAACTTGCAAAAACGTCTGCAATGCTTCCTCCAGTGTGTCTCCTCCCGACCGAATCTTCCGAAGAGTGCGCTTCAAGGTGTCCACGAACCGTTCTGCTAAGCCATTTGATTAAGGATGGAATTGCTGTGCGAACGTGGTGAATGCCTTGATTCTCACAGAAATTCTTGAACTCGTAGCTGGTGAACTGGGTACCATTATCTGAGACGATGGTTTCTGGCACGCCAAATGTTGCGAACGTTTGAGTAAGTAGCTTGATTGTTGTTCTTGTCGTTGTGGTTTTAGTTGCGTATACTTCGGGCTATTTGGTGACCCGTACTACCAGGTGACAACTACCAGGTCCGTCCACAGGTCCTGCGTAGTCAATATGGATGCGTGACCACGGCTTATCAGGGATGGGCCACGATTCAAGCGTTGTTTTGACTGGTGCTTTTCCAGCAGTGCAGCAGGGAGTGCATTGCCGGACGAAATTCTCGATGTCGTTGTCGACTCCGGGCCAGTAAACGAAACTGCGTGCAATAGACTTCATTCGTACCATGCCGGGATGTCCGCGATGAAACTGCTTCAGGATTTGCCTTCTAAACTTGCTCGGAACGACTACCCTGTCGTGGAACAGTATACAGCCATCGACGTTGGTGAGAGACTCCCGCCTGTTGAAGTAGACTCGAATCTCTGGATCTTCGACTGATCGTGCATCGTTTGGCCAACCCTCACGAATGAACTGCAGCACCGCTTCTAGGGATATTGCTGCCACAACGTACTCCTCTTCTTGCTGCTTAGAACGGTCGATGAGTCTTGACAGCATATCGGCGCATCCGAAGTCGTTGGTAGACACGTGCCGAATGTCGAAGTCGTAGTTGAGAAGCATCAATGCCCATCGTTGAAGTCGATTTGCGGTGTGCAAAGGAATGCCCTTCTTCGATCCAAAGATTGATAACAGCGGTTTGTGATCCGTGAGCAGAGTGAATCTGCGCCAAAGGAGGTACTTGTGAAACTTCGTTACCGCATATATTAGTGCAAGTGCTTCTTTTTGCGGCTGCCCGTAACCTTTCTCCGCTGGAGTGAGGGATCTTGATGCGTGCTGGATTGCCTTCAGATGTCCATTCGAAAATTCATGGAAGATGACTGCACCGATGCCCGTGCTGGAGGCGTCCGCTGCTACGATGATTGGTAACTTCGGGTCGTAATGCGTCAGCAGCATATCGGACTGCAGGACTTGCTTGAATTGCTCAAAAGACCGTTGGCAATCGGAATTCCACTGCCACTTCGAATCCTTCTTGAGTAATTGGTCGAGAGGATGACGAAGTTCATGGATGTTGCGCACGAATCTGCCGTAGAAATTAACGGCTCCCAGGAACGATCGCACTTCGGAAACATTGGTGGGTGCCGGAATAGAGGCGATGGCTTGAAGCTTCTCTGAATCCGGACGGATGCCGTTTCGATCGACGATATGCCCCAAATATCTGATTTCGGTTTGGAAGAAATTGCACTTTTCCAGCTTGACATGGAACCCATTTTCCCCTAGACGTTGTAGTAGCTTGTCTAGTGACGCCTTGTGTTCCTCCCAGGTTCTTCCGAAGATGATAGCGTCGTCGAGAAACGACCGAACACCAGAAATGTCGGCTATCATGCTGTCAACCAGTCTTTGGAATGTTCCAGGCGCTGACTTCACCCCTGGAGCGAGCCGGTTGAATTGGAAGATGCCTCGATGCGTGTTTATGGTGAGAAGCTTCTTCGATTCTTCATCTACTTCCACTTGCATGATGTTCGATCATCGTAGTGTCCGACTTGATATTGACGAGCCGCTGGAACTCGTCGATCAGTGTTTGAATTGTTACCGGAGCATCAGCCGTTTCACCTTCAATCCGGGATAGAAGCCTTGCTCGAATGTCCGCGTAGCGTGGTGGTTTGAGACCACAGACGAAAATCAAGCACTTGAAGTGATCAATCTTCAAATTCTGGAACTCAAATACTTCACATGCCCTGTTGACTTTTCCGCCATAGGTGATTATGTCGTCGGCCTCGGACTTGAGTAGCTGCATGCACTGGTAGCGTTTGTGGAATACGGAGGTCTGTCTGCCGAACGTATCGTGACGTCCTTTGGTAATTTCGGAAGGATGTAGTTGACGTAGCGACTGTGAGAGGACGTGTCCAACTTCCGGAGCAGAAGTCTAACTTTTGCTGCGTCGTCCAGACTTTGTCCGTCGCTTTCAAACAAATCCGAGTAACGGGCAAACCATTTTTCGAATGTGGTGCCGTTCTCCGGATCGAAGCAGAACTCGCTGATGTTTGTCGACAGGGATTCCAAAACTTGCTCTGGGTTCGTTGCTTGTGGAACGGCCAACCACTGGAGAAGCTGCAAAATCGCTGCTTGGAGTTCTTCGTTTGACGCCGCCACCTTCCTCGGTTCGATTCTGGAATTTCTTGAACTTGTGAGCTTCCAGAAAAATCCTCGTCGCCAACTGAAGTGTTCTTCTCAAAGAATAAAGATAGTTTGAGTGCTTCTAACTATACGTTTATTCAGGTTGACATCTACACTTCAAATCACTAATTTTTCCATCTCGGTCGCAGCTGTAGGTTGCTGCGATTACTTGAATGGAACATCGTGATTACTTGGATGGAACATGATAGTAAATTAATGGAACAGCCTTTCAGTCCTTGTTACTACAGCGTAATCCGAACAGCATTGAAGTCTTTACAGAAGTGGTATGCGAACCGGCAACAGCAACCATCCCAAAGACCAGCAGCGTTCCGGGGCGAAAAGCGCTACGCTGGTGGAATGAAGATACGAGGAAAGCCGTTAAAGCTCGGCGTAAAGCACTTCGCCGTGTAAAGCGCCTTCCTATCGAACATCCCGACCGCGAGGACGCTATCCGTCAATACCATGCTTGGCATACACAGTTTTGGTCACGAACTGCTAATAACTTTACACACAGTTGACAAAAAATATTTCTGTTTGAAGCAGTAGATAGAATAAAGTTTTGAGCTTGCAAAACACACTTCGAAATAACTAATTTTACTAGTGACGGAATCCGTCGTTGACATAAAAGATGAGACGTAAACAAACATGTCATGTAATATTAAGTGCTCCGAGACTGAAATGTTCGTTGCTCGAAGAAATGTATGACCCTGCAATTGAAGCGGACGAACTCGGCTCGTACTTTGCCGATCTCGCAGCCATCGAGAAGTACGAAAACGAATTCAAGCGGAAAGCTAAGCCTTCAACGTGATCCATTGCAAGTTTCTCTGTTTCTTCTGACGCTGGGAACTCGGACATCAACCAGGCATTCTCCTGGCAGGAATTGCAGCATGCCCTCCGCTGCAGCAACGGAAAGTCGGCGGGTTCCGACGAAATCGGGTACCCTCTACTCAAGAGGTTTCCAACGCCAGGCCAGCTACGGTCAAGAGGTTTCCAACGCCAGGCCAGCTCCTGGAGCTTTTCAACAAACTCTGGCTCACCAACTCGTATCCAGCGTCGTGGAACGAGAGCTTAGTCATTCCCATCCCAAAAGCCAATGAAACAATCCGTGAAGTTAGCAAGTACCGGCCAATAGCCTTGACATGCTGTATGGCCAAGGTCCTGGAGCGAATGGTCAACAGGAGGCTAAAGCATTTCCTTGAAGGCGAAAACCTGCTAGACCATCGACAGCACATCTTTCGTCAAGGGTACGGAAGGTCAACTTATTTCGCAACACTAGGGGAGGTCCTCAAGAGTACCAACGATAGCGGTCTCCACACCAAGATCGTCTCACTGGATATATCGAAGGGCTTCAACAGGACGTGGACGCCCTTCGTCTTAGAGCAGCTTGTCAACTGGGGGCTGTGTGGACGCATGGTCCACTTCATCAAAAATTTCCTGACCGATCGTTCTTTCAGACTCGTAGTTGGCAACACGAGGTACAAGCTTTTCAGAGAAGAGACGGGCGGCCCACAAGGTTCAGTTATCGCCGTTACCCTCTTCCTGGTGGCCATGAACGGAGTTTTCGGACCACTGCCGAAAAATGTTTATATTTTCGTGTATGCCGACGATGTACTTATCGTAACTACCGGCCCAACAGCAACACGTAACAGGATAAAGGCCCAGGCAGCTGTCTCCGCTGTAGCCAGGTGGGCCAGCGCGGTAGGTTTCCACCTTTCGGCCACCAAAATCATCAGGTGCCACGTGTGTCCATCCCATCGCTGACACGGTGCCAGTCTTGAGATGAAGTGCATCGCTACTGAAAAGCTCGTGCAGATACTAGCACCAACTTTCAACACCTACGTTCGGATTGTCTCCGGTCTTCTTCAGTCAACGCCCGCCGATGCCGCATGCATCGAAGCGGGTATTCTGCCCTTCCGCCATCATATAACCGCAGCAATTGCAACGAAAGCCGCTGCCTTTACCGCAATGACCTCCGAAAATGACAGGACCTTTCTCCTCGATGAGGGGAACAGACTCCTCTAAATGACTGCCCATTCGGAGCTCCCCCCAGTGGTCAAGGTCCACTGGTACGGAGACAAAATTTGGCACATACCTCCACCAAAAATAGAGAGTCGGATAAAGAGCAGGTTCAGAAGATAACTCTGCAGCGCTGAGGAGAACAGTAGCTGAACTGCTAGGATCGGACTACCCAAGCCATGCCCACATATACACGGACGGATTGCTTTCCCGAGCCGGGGTCGAAATTGGAGTAGCCGGAATTCAAACACCGATGAGTAGCAGCCTACAGCCGCAAGCTGCGGCCATTTTTGTTGCCGTTACAATACCCTCGGACCGGCCCATACTGGTGCTACAGCGTGATACAAACCCTTACATCTGAGACCCTGACTCACCCCTGGATACATGGTATTGTGGAGGCCACACCTCCAAAAACGGTGTTTTCCTGGATCCCTTGGCACTGCGGTATCCCAGGAAATAGCGAAGCCGACAGCCTGGCAGGGTCTGGACCAGCTGACTCTCGCTACACCAACGAAGTGCCACTACAGGACATAAAGCGATGGATAGTCAGCAATCTGCTAATCTTCTCATCGGTCGGGCACTCACCATCATTCCCGAAGTCAACTTGCTGGGACGGCAAATTTCCTCGATGTCACGCTGGCAGTTTGTTCAGCGCCTCTCGCCAGAATTTCGCATCAGATGACTGCCAGAATACGTACGATCTCTGCAGCGGATGACGAAGTGGCAACGATCATCGCACAATGACTTCGTTTTGCTAGTGGACGACAATTCGAAGCCAAGACTGGCAGAATCGTCGAAACCTTCCCAGGTCCAGAAGGATTAACAAGGGTGGTATCTGTAAGAACAGCAACTGGTACTGTTCGGAATGATGTTAAGAAGGTATGGATGTGGATGCGGATGAGTATACTCCAAGAACCACAGAGCATAATATTGTGGATTCAATTCCATTTTTTGGATCATTCCTTTAGTTTTTAGTGTGAACATTTGATTTTCTAAGGATAAATTTCGTTAGTTTCTGGGTCATGGTTGAACGTTTTATGGATCATTTGCAATATGTTAATGCGTAATTCGTTCATTGAATCATTCTTTAGAAATTGAGCGGTAGATTATTACAATTGTGTCGCTAAATTTTGCATAAAATATGGATCATCGTGACATTTATTATGGTTCATTCACACTTTTTTTTTGGGATTTTCACTGGGGTTTTAAAGGATTATTTGGATGTTTTTTAAGAAATAATTTTTCATTTTTTTTATGGGTCGTTCCATCAATTCTAAAAGGGGGCGGGGGCTGCCAACAAACACTGCCATTTATAGAAAAATTTTGGTGAAATTTAGCTTTAAAATCACTTTACAAAGCAAACTAAGCGATTCACAATGTGGCTTTCTTCAGGTAAGTTGTGTATTTTGGTGATATTAAAAACTTTGTAGAACATGTCGAATCGATTAAGGCCTGTACTCGAAAAAAAAAATGCACCAGACAGAAGTGTTCGCCAAAAATTTATTTTAAGTCGGATTTTCTTGAAACTTTCAGAGAATGAACTAATATATATGGATTATGTTGCGGCATAATTACTTTATTCAATTTCCTTTCCATCGCTGAAAGCCCGCACCTTTCCCTTAAGACCCCTCATTACATTTTGTGCAATGGTGGAGCCGACCTTTTTGGTCACTTTCATCCATTCTTTCTTCAACTCCAGCTCGTTCTTAAACACCTTGGACGATTTTCGAACTTTGGCCTTCATTATGGCCCAAAATCTTTCCACCGGACGAATCTCTGGTGAATTTGGGGGGTTGGCGGTTTTTGGTACAAAAACAACGTTATTGTCTCTGTACCAATCCAACGTCGATCGCGCGTAATGGCATGATGCCAAGTCCGGCCAAAATAATGTCTCGCCTCCGTGGGACCACAGGAAGGGTAACAGATGCTTCTGGAGGCACTCGGTGCGGTAAATTTCACTGTTGATGGTACCCATTGTGATGTACGGTTTACTCAGTTTACCGCATTTGCATATGGCCTGCCAGAGCAAGTATTTTTTGGCGAATTTGTCCACTTTCTTCTTCCTTATGTCTTCCAGAACATCAAACCGTGATTTGGCAACGTAGAACTCCAGCCCCGGTATCTGCTTTGCGTCTGCCTTGATGTAGGTTTCGTCATCCATAACCACACACATCGGTTTCGTTAACCACTCT